CTCACAAACATGGCATCTCCAGGAAAGGCATCTGGTACCCTTCATTATTTCACTGTTTGTAACTCAGTATCTCCTTCCTATAAACATCTCTAAGAGGAAAATAAAATATATACCAACACTCCCCACACAATTTAATATAATGCTTATTTAACTTTCCTAAGTGTATTTAACATGTTCACCTTAAATTTTAAGTGCAAAACACTTTTTAAAAAAAATAGTCCTTGTCAGAATAAAAATTACCTTATAAAAATAAATCTCCCCCACTCCCACATCTAAATTCTCCATTCCTAGCTACTAATATATATATTTAAAACTAAAATGTACCTTTAGCCCTGGCCGGTTTGGCTCAGCGGTTAGAGCATTGGCCTGCAGTCCAGAGAGACCTGGGTTCGGTTCCCGCTAGGGGCACATACCTCGGTTGCGGTTTGTCCCCAGCCCTGGTTGGGTCCTACTGGTGGCAGCCACTCGATGTGTCCCTTTCACGACAATGTTTTTCTCTCTCTCTTCCTCTCTCTCCCTCCCACTCTATCTGAACGGGAAGTGGAAAAGTGTCCTTGGGTGAGGATAAAAAAATAATAATAAAATGTACCTTTAAGTTACAGTATTTCAACAATATTTTACTTTAATAATAGGCTATGATAACAAACCAGCTGATGTATTATTTTGGCCTGTTCCATTATATTCCTCATTCTTGTTATTAGCACTCAAATTAATGATTCCATTTACAATTATCTAAAATCTTTATATGGGCACTCTCCTTCTCAGGAGCATGCCCTCCCCTTCCTCTGCCCCCCTTCCTCCTCCCTCCAGGCAAGTTACCTTTGCCTTTCTCTCTCCTAAGCCCCAAGGGCCCTTCTTTTGCTTCTGTAACATTTTTCCTGAGTCCAAGAGGCCCAGAGGGCTCACTTCTACAACCTCTGTAACTTTCTAAATAAGTTTTCTCTTATAATTTGAAACAACAAATACCCAAAAAACCTTTATACAAAAAAATAAATAAATAAAAGCCAAATTACTTCAGAGCTTAAAAGCTTTCTAGATCCAATCTCCTCCTTTTGCAGTTTTTAAGCCCAGTTTCAAATAAGTCATCACTAGAACAGAAAGAGAAAACATGGGGGGGTGGGGGCATTAGAGAACAGAAAAATTAAGCAGTCTAAATACTATCAACTGTGTTTTTGTCATGTCACTGTGGAATCATTCCCTGGAGAGACCAGGGCATCCATGCCTCCTTGTTTGCCTCAGCTGCCTGCATCCTGCTCAGACCTTAGTCCAGGCAGCTCCTCCATAAAGCACCTCCAAGTGCCACTGTGTGTCACCCAGAAAAGTTACCATACAGCCTGCCTGCTGGATTTAGTATCACAGGCCCCGCACATGACACAGAGCCCTAGGCTAGACTCCTGCATAGGTCCTCAGGAAGTGTTTGGGGAATTATCTACATTGATGCAAAAAAAAACCTGTGGCTCATCTATAGCTCACAACATAGAGGAAAACAATTCATTAAAAACATTAATAAGGATCACAGACCTTGAATTTATCATTATAACTCCTACACTCAATTTTAAGTTCCCAAGAAATTCACTACTCTAAGATCAGAGCTAACACCCAATGTGTTCTTAAATGATAAATTACTAAGAGAACACAATGCATGTTTAAAGATCACCATATACCACTGTAAATTTAGTAATAAGTAACAAATTTGGCTTCAATGTCTACTATTGTTTAAAAGCTAATTGCCCTGGCCAGTTTGGCTCAGCGGTTAGAGCGTTGGCCTGCGGTCCGGAGAGACCCGGGTTCGGTTCCAGCTAAGGGCATGTACCTCGGTTGCAGTTTGTCCCCGGCCCTGGTTGGTCGTGCGGGTGACAGCCACTCGATGTGTCCCTTTCACATCGATGTTTCTCTCTCTCTCTTCCTCTCTCTCCTTCCCACTCTGTACAAAAAATGGAAAAATGTCCTCAGTTGAGGATAAAAAAAAAAATAAATAAAAAAATAAAAGCTAAGTCAGACCACCCAAATCTTGTTTTCCTTTGGTTCTAATTAAGTTTAAAAAGTAATTGTCTACTAGACATCTGTCCATGTTACTACCATCAGAGGCACAGATAGTACTGTAGTCACTAGTGCTCCAGAGTAGGCCGGCCTGGGCTTTTGTCACAAAGCTGGCTACTGTGTGCTCCTCAGCTCTTTCATCTTTGGTGAATCTGTGCCCCTCTCCTTCTAGAAACAGAACCCAGTTTTGACCTTGTTGTCAAACTAAGGTGTGGCTCCTAAGCCTGACCTCCCTACTGCTGTGTGGGACTAACCAGGGATTGGATCCTATTTAACTGAATGCCTGTTTTCCCCCTTGTTTGGTCAGAGATGGTCTTTTCAATGGTCTATTCCTTTCACTCCTCTCTTGAATGTTAATCCTTAGTCTCTCTGTACATGGACATACTCCACCCCTCTGTAGCAAATCTAAAAATAATAAGACTGTAAAGTTTTAACCATTAAGTGCATACACAATACATTTCAATTAAATGACCATTTTAAGATAGTCAGAATTTTATACATTTGTCAATAAGTAATGAGAAAATGTTTCATTTAGACAATAAAATTTAGAGTAAGCAGGATATTTTTGTACCAATAAAGCTTGTAAAATATCACCTTGTGAACTAAAAGTCCAAGGCTATGAGAATGAAAACATTAGTTTTGCTGATAAATTGGGCTTTGGTTTCACATTTGATTTCTTTAAATATCAGCAGAAAAATTTTAAAACATGTACATATAGGCTGACCTCGACTCAAGCAGAAATGGTAAGATATAAATTCTAGTGAAATCTTAAATGATTTTACAACTGGCTATCAAAAGTAGAAGCTCTTGTTTGTTTGGATAGGAGAGGTACAAACCAGAGTACAATTTAAGAATTTGATAATTGCATAAAGCTCCAGAATTGTTCATATCCACATATGAAGATAAAGGTCAAAATCTGTTACTTTATTCTTCTAAGCGGTTTTTCAAATTCTTCAAAGACTTTATTTATTTTTTGCTGTGGTAGTGTTTGCTAAATTATAGAGTTGTCTTAGACATGTACTCTGTCACACATCATTAGACATCTATAATGGTCTGGATTCAAATCTGGCTTGGGGGAGGAAGGCAAGGATTAAAAATAAATGACTGACCAAAATACTATGATTTTACTACTACTATTAATAAGACTGGATAGAACGGGCAAAAATTGGCTTAAAAAAACAAAACCAAAACCACAAACAGCAGTTAACATTTCTGAAATTCTAGACTTACATTCTAAAAGGATGTCCAAATTCAGAACACTATTACATTCAATCATGATGTCAATCACCTCAAAGCCAGACACCCAGCTTTTCTTCAGAGAAACTGTTTTAATAACAGGAAGGTATGTTCCAAGTAAATAGATGGACACAGCTCTACCAATAGAAAAGCAACACTTGCAGTTAATGAAGACAGCTATATTAAAAATGTCTAACTCTGCCCTGGCCAGTTTGGTTCAGCGGTTAAGCGTTGGCCTGCGGACCAGAGAGTCCTGGGTTTGGTTCCCGCTAGGGGCACGTACCACAAAAAAAATAAAAATAAAATAAAATAATTAAAAAAATGTCTAACTCCAACAGATGCCCTACATAAAGGGTTTGCTTCTCATAAATATTTAAATCATTTAGAATGTATGAGCAAGTCAAAAAATGATACTGCACTTTTGCAAATATTATTGTTTGTTTTAAATGGTGTAGCTAAATGTTTCAATCTCAAATGAGTCTCCTAGTACTAGTTTTGAAAAACCTGGTTCTTTATCTCACTTGTTAAGGTCCAGATATAGAACTAGAAGCTTTCAATGTCAGACATGCTTGCTTTTCAAAAGAAACTCTTCCTATAGCCACAACCCATGGCCAGCTGTCATAAATAATTTAGTTGTATGAATGTGATGCTTCTAAATACTCTTGCACAATAGTTAGGTAGCCCAAAGAGTTAAAAGCTGTCATTGTCATCAATATTTACTGTAAATCAATAGGGTCCATGGCAGTTGAGTATTAGCTTTGTTTTCACTAAAAGATCTACAAATTAATTATTTATATTCCTTTGGAAGCTTCAGTGCATTCTTTTCTGTTGGTTACAATAAATGTTTCTTGCAGAGAAAAGATGAACAGTAAGTTCTATTTAAGAAAGACTGTCAATCCCCAAATGACCCTTGCGAAAATGCCATGGGAAGGAAAAAAAAAAATCACTGCTAAGTATATTCCTAGCTGCAATCTGTCCCTAACAGTTTGCCTCAAGCTCCTTTAAAATGCTGTACAGAATTGCAGAGTCAGCATTCTGTCTTTTGTCTGGCAAGCTTGTCACTGGTAATCAGACACAGCAGTTTGGGACAGATTCCATGGAAAATACATTATATTACTGAAAGCTAAAATAGAGCTTAATGGTAGAGAAATACTCAGAAACAGGGACAAAGATTACAGAAAAGACAGGGAGGATTCCCATTATTTTTGCTGATTATGAAGCGCTCTTTGCTTACCTACTTACTCTAAACAAAAAGGCATGACTAAAAACATCAAATGTATTACAAAGAGTGTTCCATATAATGTGAAGTTGGCCGGTAGGATTCACAAATATGCCCAGACTCCTGAAAGGCCTGTGCCCATGGTTCCCTGCCTTAAAGAGAGGAATGGTGCTTTCCTATTAAAAGCCATAGATCCTACTGATGTCTGGGGAGCAGAGACTGGGTATGGAGAAGTACAAATAAGAAAAAAACTGCCCTGGCCGGTTTGGCTCAGCGGTTAGAGCGTCGGCCTGCGGTCCAGAGAGACCGGGGTTCGGTTCCCGCTAAGGGCACGTACCTCGGTTGCAGTTTGTCCCCGGCCCTGGTTGGTCATGCGGGTGGCAGCCACTCGATGTGTCCCTTTCACGTCGATGTTTCTCTCTCTCTCTCCCTCCCACCCAGTCTACCTGAACATGAAAATGAAAAAAATGTCCTTGGGTGAGGATAAAAAAAAAGAAAAAGAAAAGAAAAAGAAAAAAACTTGTGTAGTTATTACCTTGTGCTCCAGAGGCCTCTGGTTAGCTGGTACAAGAGCAGGCACAACATTCTTTCCCTGCCCCCTTTCCACTCTCTCTCCAAAATGCCATATCATGTAGGCTTCAGCACTTCTCATGTAAATGCCAACTTCACCCCTTTACCTCCTGGAGAAGAAAGAATCTAAATGCATATCTCCTAAAAGAGGATGGTCATTAAGTTTAAGGGCTACTTCACAGTTCAATTCAATAGACATTTTAATCCAAGAAAGCTTAGAACCACAACATTTTCTTCTTTTTGATTCTGCCTAACTATAATATGCTTTGCTGCATTCATGTATCTACAAAGGCCATCAGCTTCAAAGGAAGAATAATGTCTACCCAATAGGTTATAATTTCAAGTATGCATGTTGCTATTGGCTAGACATTATTTTTCCTTCCATCTCCTTATTCAGTTGATCATTGGAAAGACTAAGACCATTGGGAATACATATTCCTTTCTGATTTTGAGATTCTTCTGCAAAAGCTATTGCTTCATATACACTATAAAAGAGGTTGTCATCTTCCTTTTTGCAATACTCTCCCCGGGCCAGGGAATCTTTCACAGAGGGATTGCACTGAGCCAGCAGAACTTGTATGCCAATGGCTTCATAATCTCTGCGAACTTCTTTCAGCGTATGGATCCCTGCTGTATCTAAAAATGGGATTGCACTGCAGTCAATCACTATGGTATGGAATGCCAAGGGATCATGGGCAAGTTGCACTGAAACTTCATCCTGGGTTCCACTGAGAGTCACTGTTTCCTTTTTGATCCTTCTCTTTGCTGCCTTCTTCTGAGCTGCCTTTACTAAGATTGGGTTGAGAGTTTTTTTGTATAAAGCAGATTTAAAACATTCTTTGTTTATATAGTAGAGAGGGGCCACAAAGCGGAAAATCTTGATGCCTGGCTTTGCCTGAAGGTTTCTGTAAGCAGACATGGATTCAAAAATGTCCGACTCTTCCACCAGGCCAAGCAATGAACTCTTTGGCTTCTGAGTACGGAGGATGACACAAAACATAGAAAAACAAACTCCAATAAGCAGACCTATTTCAGTACTTATCAGTGCAGAGGAAAGCATAGTAACAAACCAGATAACTGTATCCATTCTGCTAACCCTCCACATCTTGGGCAGATCCTTAAATTTACATAGAGCTCCCCGGAGATTTACAATAGTGATCACACCAAGGACACTTTTCTGAAGGGAATAGAATAAAGGAGCTATTACCAGGAGGACCAACAAAAGAACCAGAGCTGTCATCACCCCAGACAGCTGAGTTTGGCAGCCTGTTGATTCTTTAACCAACGTCTTTGCAAGAGCTGCGCTAGTAGTAAAGCAGTGGAAGAAGGAAGGGATGATATTGCAAAAGCCAATGGCATACATTTCTTGGTTAGCTTTGACTGTGTAGCCATGTTTCTTGGCGAACATCTCAGAAAGTGATACAGTGATAGCAAAACCAATGATAGACATAGCTATTGCATCAGTAGCCACACTAGGAATTAAGTTCCAGTCCGGTGCTTTGGGTGACATAAACCCAGTGGGAATATGTCCGGCAACACTGGTATTGTATGTCTCATGTAGTTTTCCAAAATGAGAGGCTAATGTCGCTGCCACAACGACAAATAGTTCAGTAGGAATAGGTGCCTTAAGCTTGGACTTGAAGTGCTCATTGAGTTCTTTGGTTGGCAAAAGAACCAAAAGGCACAAAAGGCTGGTGATTAGATCACAGATATTGGTCTTATGGATGTTTCTGAAAATATGTATCCAAGTAGTGATGAGTGATCCCACGCCATTACTCCGAGGAAGGCTGAGCCCAAGGAGATACTTGGCCTGAGATGTAAGAATAGTGAAGGAGGCACCAGTGACAAATCCACTCAGCAAGGCATCTGAGAGGTAGACAGAAACAAAGCCCACTTGAAAGAAGCCCATCGCTACCTAGAAGGAAGGATATGCAAGTGTTAAATATAAACAGAAAGGAGCCTCTAAATCCTGTATTAACCTGGCATTCTTTGCATGGAGACATGCCATCAGAGTATCACTGAATGTCAGAGCTAGAGAAAAACGCAATCATATGTCAATCCTCGCATTTTAGGGACAGGTCTCATTTTACTGACACTCAGAGGGCTAAGCACACTGTTACTCATTAGCCCAGATAAGACAAGAACTTAGGATTTCTACCTTCTTAAACTCCTAAAACAACTCTCTATACATCACCCTCTCTCCCTCTCCTTCTCACCCAAACACCAAATAGTGAGCTACCCTTCCCCTTCCCTTATTGGTTTCAAATATCTGTAATAGAGATTTAATGCTGGCACTGATTCTTGGATGCCAAAAGGCAGGGGGCATGATGATAATGGCAGATTAGCAGATTCTATGGGAGACCCAAGAATTTAGTTTCTACTCCTTTTCCTGGCTAATACAAAATAATGGTCCTCAACTTTCCCCCTCTGTAATAGTCCAAGAGAACTATCTTTAGTGAGAGTCACTCACTATAGCAGTAATTCTAAAGGAAAGAGAGGATGGTCATCTATAGTCTGAAAAACTCCTGCACTCCACCCCCATTCTGTTACCTGCCTGTTCATGTTGACTCTGCCAATAACCAACCACATGTAATCTCAAGCTAAGCAGTGTTTCTCAATATATAAAATCAAGGAGTTGTACTAGGCGGCCTGATGTCCCTTTTTGGTCTACATTTTTACAACCAAATAATTAAAATCTGGCTAACTGAATTTCTGGGTTAAGAGGTAGCTTAGCGTTGAGAAAAGAGAAGCAGGCTTTTCTTACCTCTATAGTCAAACCAGGGTTTGAATGTTGGCTCTACCCCTCACATATTCAATTAATGATAGCATTAATTATTGTGATATCTAAGTTCCCTTACAGATCTGAGATTTTATGCATAGTGATTTCTCTTGCCAGAAACAACTACTCATTCCACTGTTTCTTACCTGATAAACTCCAGCCATAAAGGTTACAGTGCTGCCCACTGTAATTGCATAGCAACTTCTGTCACACATCCTGTCCGATATCTGATTTAATGACGTGCTCCCATTCGACACCATTCCTAAAGATGGGGCAATATGGGCAGTGTCATAGCCAGCTTTGCTTAGTTCTCGGTCAACTACCTCACCAATCATAAGGCACAGAATTCCAAAAATGCCCACCGAGATGTGACGGGAAGTCCCCAATAGGAAATAAATGAGGCTGGCAAAAAAAGATGTGTACAGACCATAGATCGGTTCCTGGCCAGCTAAAAGGGAATACGCAATAGATTGGGGCACCAACAAGATGCCCACAATCAAGCCAGACATCACATCTCCTAAAATGTTTTTCTTCAAATCATATTTTGGGAGCCATTGCAAAACAGGAAGGAAACCCAAAATCGTCTTTTTTGCTTTGGTTGGGCTGCACTGGCAACTCTTCCGTAGTTTTTTGATGACGAATTGCTTAAGGTTAGTATTTGATTTTTCTTGAGGCTCCACGTGGATCCTACGATAATGTCTGCATTGATTAGTGGCCTCAGATTGCTGCAAGTCAGTACGTGGTTCCTTTTCAAGCTCCATGTGGATCCTGGACAGAGGACTGTATTGGCCTTTTCCTTCAAGTGAGTCCTTGGGTGAAAGGTCATGTTGCTCTGCACTTTCCGAAGACATTTCTGGAGATAGATGCTTTAGCCTCCTACCCCAGAAAAAATACCAGAGTTAGCTGATTAAATAATTCTCAGTGGGCAACATTTTATTTTTAATTTATTTTATTTTATTTTTTAGAGTGGAAGGGAGGGAGGAACAGAGAGAGAGAGAGAAACATCAATGCAAGAGAGACACATCACTTGGTTGCCTCCAGTACAACCCTGACTGGAGCCAGGGATCTAACCTGCATGCAACCCAGGTACGTGTCCTTGACCAGAACCGAACCCATGACTCTTCGGTCCATGGGGTGACGCTCTAACTGCTGAACCAAACCAGCTAGGGTTCAGTGCTCAACTTTTTTTTAAATTGTTTTTTTTTTTAGAGGGGGGGGGGAGATAGAAACATCGATGTGAGAGAGAAATATCAATTGCCTGCCTCCTGTACACCCCCAACTGGGGATCAAGCCCACAACCTGGGCATGTGCCCTGACTGGGAATCAAACCGGAACCTCTCAGTCCATGGATTGATGCTTAATCCACTGAGCCACACTGACTGGGCTCAGTGCTCAACATTTTAACAGCCCTACTTCTCATTCATGAGAGTTAAGAGGAGTTCAGTTTGGGAGTAGGTATCTTATAGTCACTTTCCTTAGTTGAGCCTCATTTGTCTTGGTCAGAAAAACAAAAAACATCATAGCAGCCAAATCAAAGCAAAAAAATCACTGGATAAAGGACTTCCCAAGAGTACAAATCAGTTAAGGATTCTTCTCCATCCCTGCCTGGATCCCTCTATTGTTTTTTTCTCCAGAAAAGGTATCAGGGTGGCCTGTTTCCTCCTTTCTAAATGTTATCAACTGTCTTCAAGTTTTTCACTTCCAGATACACTGCAAAATAGGATCCGGTCCCAAACCTTCACCCCTACCTGTAAGTACTTGAAACAAGAAAGATGGTCTTCGAATGGATCAAAAAGCTGTGGTACATATACACAATGGAGTACTACGCAGCGGTAAGAAAGAAAGATCTCTTATCCTTTGAGACTACATGGAGGGACCTTGAAAGTATCATCCTAAGTGAAACAAGCCAAACAGAGAAAGACAAATTTCATATGATCTCACTTATTTGTGGAATATAATGAACATAACAGTTTGAGGAATGGGGTAGTCCCAGAGACGTGGAAGTGGGGTACAGACTGACAATCCCCTAAAAAGTGGGGAGGTGGGGGAGGGATGAACCACAGAACTTATACGCATGTATGCATGAACAGTGGACATGGACAACAATCTGGGGAAGGGGCAGGGAGAGGAGGGGGTGGGGGGAATCAGTGGGGGGAAAAAGGAGAAACATCTGTAACAAAAATTAATCAATAAAAAAAAAAAAAGAAAGAAAGATGGTCTTTTGAGGAGGCTTCTTAAATAACTCTCTAATTGTTGAAAATAAACATAAAGAAGAAAAAAGCAAGTGAAAGAGTAAAAATAAATGTTTTTGGGAAAAGAAAGAAACCAGGGCAGAATGCATTTAGGTCTTCAAACAACACTCCTTTGCTTGATAGGGAAAAAGAGAGAGAAGTTGATAAGAGATTGTTGAAGTTCAAGAGTATCAAGAGCATTGCGTAGGCTATGGGGCAAGTGTCTGATGCATGCTCTAGAAAGTTTTGGTCTATTCTACTCTCTTCTAATATGGAGTCATATCTGCCCTGTTTGTGCAAATAAAGATTCTCTTTCCTATTCTATGCACACACTCTGAATAGAGATATAATGTTGCCCTGCACTTCCACTTGGAGGGTAACCCGGTGAGCCTGCATCTCTGGGTCCTAAACTACAGAACTAATGTCATAAGACCTTCCACTAATAACTACAGGAAAATGAAGAAGGCAAATAAACCAAAATGAAAGAAGGGGAAACAACAACAACAAATCTTGTAATAAGAGTAAAAGAGGAGGAAAAAGCAGCAGGAAAAATCAGTGTCTTTGTGTTAGCTGCTTGCTTAATTTAGCATGGCCATCCACTTCTCTGCCTGTCAAGATCCTAATCAGTTTTAAAACCCAGTTAAAATGCAACCTCTTATACAAAGCACTGACCAATGTCTCCTAGCCCAAATGAGTCATTACACCCTCTAAGTCCCTTAGCATTTTGCACCTCAATTATAGTATTAACCACATTCTTATATTTGTTAAGTAGGAGTCTCTCCAGCTCCTGGATGAAAGGACATCTTGTTCATCATTGTAATCAAACGAATGTAAAATAGTAACTCTAAGAGAACGGGCTTGCAAAATGTTTGAATGAATGAAAGAATAAATGAATAAACAGATTTATGATTATAGCCAGAGAGAGATAAAATATAATAGATGGAGGACTCAGGAAGTTTTCTGTTTTGGAACTGACAGAAAAGTAGGCCCTTGTAAAGTTCTATACACCTAACATTCCCAAGATGCCATATTCCAGGACCCAAGACCCATTTAGGAACACAAGACACATAAAAATAACCCATATTAATTTTATTTATGTTGAAGGATAATCTTACTAAACAAGAGTAAAATAATAGTTAATTTGATGGTCTTGTTAAGTAGATAAGGAAAAAAAGAATAGATTTTGATGGCCACTTACCCTGAGCAAGTCAATCAGATTGGTGGATACACAACGCAGATCTTCATTCCTCAATGCAACCAGTCTGTGACTCTCTTCTTACTTCCTACTTTCAGGCCAGCCTTCTCCAAGTGCACTTCTTATGTTCTGTCATTCTATTTTGGAACAACTCTTGGTGATTTCTGGGTCAAAAGGCTTTTCCAAACCTAAGATATACAAAAGAGGCATAAGAAAATACTAACAAAATCCACACCTTGTCCTATATGGCTGCTATCTGAGAAGGAAAGGGATAAAAATTACTACTAGAAAGTACAACAGTGATGGAAACTGCAAGAAAGAATCAAATTGAAATGCTGAAAGTGAAAAACACAGTAACAGTAATGAAGAATGCCTTTGACAGAATCATCAGTAAACTTGACAGAGCCAAAGAATCAATGAAATTACAGATAGACCAATAGAAATTGTCTAAACTGAAACACAGTAAGAAAAACAGATGTAAAAAATCAATAACAATAATGTAAGAGAACATGTAAGAGCTGTGGGACATATTAAACAATCTAACACATGCATAATTAGAATTCCAAGAAGAGAAGGCACAGAACAGGCAGAAGAAATATTTGAAGACAAAATGGCCAAGAACTTTCCAAAATCAATGACAGATACCAAACTATACATCCAAGAATCTCAATACCAAGAAGGTAAAATAAAAACATAAAGCAAAACAAATCCCCACACCTATACATTTTACATTTAAAACAAAAGACAAAGAAAAAATCCTAAAAACAGCAAAAGGGGGAAAAACACATTATATACACAGGAACAAATATAGTATAAACAGACTCATTACTGGAAATCATATAACCCAGAAGATACTTTATCACAGAAATATAACTGCCACCCAGAATTCTATCAAAAAGATGGAAAGATAAAAGCTTTCTCAGACAAACACTAAGAGGACGAATGCCAGCAGACCAGTACTATTACATAAACATATACCAACAGAAGAAACTCAGGTCTACACAATATAGAACAAGAATGGAATATATGAAGACAAAATAAAATCCATTTTTAATTTTAAAAAATCTTTAATTGCTCTAAAACATCATTTTCAAAGCAAAAATATAAATGCACTTTGTTCATAGTTTATAAAATAAAATGTATGAAAACAATAGATGAAGGATGGGAGGGGAAACTGGGAATTGTAAGGTCTTACACTAAATGTGAAGGGTATAATATTATTTGAAAGTAGGCTCTGATTAAAGGTGTATATTGTAAACCCAAGGGTAACCACTTAATTTTTTAAAGGTATACATAATAAGTCAATTGTTATTTTATCTGTAATTGTATAAAGTAGAATCATAAAAAATTCTTAATTAGCCCAGCTGGTGTGGCTCAGAAGTTGAGTGTTGACCCCTGCACCAAGAGGTCGCTGGTTCGATTCCTGGTTAGGGCCCAGGTTGTAGGCCAAATCCCCAGTAGGGGGCATGCAAGGAGGCAGCCAGTTGATGTTCTCTCTCATCGATGTTTGTCTCTCTCTCCCTCCCTCTCCCTTCCTCTTTCTAAAAAATCAATTAAAAAAATGTTTTAATCTTTTTTAACTTTACTGTTGAATGTATTACAGATGATTCTCATTTTTTCCCCATTGACCCCCTCCCCACTCCTGCCCCCCTCCTGCCCTCCCCACACTGTTGTCTGTGTCCATTGGTTATGCATATATACATATAGGTTCTTTGGTTTATTTCTTCCCACCCCCTAACTCCCTTCCCTTTGAGGTTTGTCAGTCTAACAACCAATTTGTACTTCTTAATCCCTTCACCTTTTTCACCCAGTCCCCCAACCTTCCTCCCATTTGGCAACCAACAAAATGTTCTCTGTATCTGAGAATGTTTCTGTTCTGCCTGTTCATTTTGTTTGCAGATTCAATTGTCGATAGATATGTACTCATTCCATTTTGTTTGTTCATATTTTTTATCTTTTTCTTCAAAAAGACCCTTCAACATTTCATATAATAACAGTTTGGTGGTGATGAATTCCTTTAGCTTTTTCTTGTCTGGGAAACTCTTTATATGGCCATTTATTCTAAATGACAGCTTTGCAGGATAGAGTAATCTTGGTTGTAGGTTCTTGCTTTTCATCACTCTGAATATTTCTTGCCACTCCCTTCTGGCCTACAAAGTTCCTTTTGAGAATTCAACTGACAGTCTTATGGGAACTCCCTTGTAGGTAACTAACTGCTTTTCTCTTGATGCTTTTAAGATTCTCTCTTTGTCTTGAATCTTTTGCAATTTGATGATGATGTGTCTTGGTGTGGCCCTCTTTGGGTTTCTCTTGTTTGGGACTCTCTGTGCTTCCTGGACTTGTATGTCTGTTTTCTTCACCAAGTTAGGGAAGTTTTCTGCCATTATTGTTTCAAACAGGTTTTCGATTTCTTGTTCTCTCTTCTCCTTCTTGCACCCCCAAGATGAGAATGTTGGCATGCTTGAAATTGTCCAAGAGGCTCCTTACACTATCCTCATTGTTTTGGATTCTTTTTTCTTTTCGCTATTCTGATTGGGTGTTTTTTGCTTCCTTATATTCCAAATCAATGGTTTGCTTCTTGGCTTTACCTACTCTACTACTGAATCTATGTAAATTATTCTTTATTTCAGTTAGTGCATCCTTCATTTCTGACTGGTCCTTTTATATGCTCTTGAGGCCCTCACTAAGTTCACTGAGCATCCTTATAAGCAGTGTTTTGAACTCAGCATCTGTTAGGTTGCTTATCTCCATTTCGCTTAATTCTTTTCCTGGAGTTTTGTTCTGTTCTTTCACCTGGGACCTGTTTCTTTGTGTCTTCATTCTGGCAGCCTCCCTGTGCCTGCTTCTATGTATTACCTAATGAGAGGTATGGGGCTAGCTAAGACCAGATGCTGCTTGTTTGAAAGAATTTAGGAAAACCTGAAGCAGGATCCAAGACAGTCAATCCTATGGTAAAGCAACTGGCAACAGCTTGGGTGGGCCTCAAAAGTTGGGTGGGGCAGGGCCTCAGGGAATTACCAGGGCAGGGCAAACAGTGTGAGCCAAGTTGCTGGAGTCCCAGATTTAGTGGCTGTCTGCCACCCTAGGGAAGGGCTCACCAAAGGAACAAAGGCCTCTGATAGCAGGTCTGTCCAGGAGAAAGCTGCCTCTCCAGCCCTCATTCCAATGCTAAACAATTCAGTTCTTCCCCATCTCCAGTGTCCCTCAAGCTTCCTCCCCCACTCTGGAGCCTGGAGGGTGCAAGTCCAAGTTAAGTCCATACGTGAGCCCTTTAAGAGGAGCTGCCTGGGGCTCCAGCCACCTCAGCCTCAGTTCTCACTGGTTTTACAGCCAGAAGTTATGGGGACTTCTCTTCCTGGCACTGGAACCTTGAGCTGGGTGCCTGGTGTGGGACAAGGACCCCTCAGTCCTCAGGGAGGACCTTCCCAGCTGAGGTATCTTCCTAATTTTTATCCGCCACACGTGGGTGTGGGAGCAGCCCATCCACGCCTCCACCCCTCCTACCAGTCTCCATGCCTCCATGCGGCTGCTGCTTTAATTCTGTAGTTATAGGACTTCCATTCAGCTTGATTTCAAGCGGTTTTGAATGATGGTTGTTCTGTAGTTGTAACTTTGATGTGGTTGTGGGAGGACATAATACCATGTTTACCTCCGCCGCTATCTTGACCAGAAGTTTTTTTTTAAATCTTAACCCAAAGGAAAGCAGAAAAAGAGGAAAAAAGAAAGACCAAAACCTGATGGAACAAATTGAAAACAGCTAGCAAGATGGTAGAGTTTAATCCAAACATAAAAATGATCATATTAAATATGAATGGTCTAAACATTCCAATGAAAAGACAGAGGACTCTCAGATTGAATTAAAGAAATAATAAGACCCACCTATATATTGTGTATAAGAAGCCCACTTAATTTTTTTATTTTTTAAAATTTTTTTTATTGATTTTAGAGAGAGTGGAAGAGAGAGAAAAAAACATCAGTCAGTTGCCTCCCACACACCCCAACTAGGGATTGAACCCACAACCTGGGTATGTGCCCTGACCAAAAAATGAACCAGTGACCTTTCGGTGCACAGGGTGATGCTCAACCAACTGAGCTACACTGGCTAGGGCAAGAAGCCCACTTTAAAGATATACATAGATTATAAAGTGAAAGGACTTGTCCAATTTAGTAATTTATTCAGCTTACAAGTGACTCAGCCTGTTAATAAAAATCTAGATTTTAAGACTCTAAGATAGCTCTTTTTTGAGCATGGTACTTACTATTCCTATCACCTATATAATTAGTTTTCTCTAACTTCAGGCACTTTAGAATTTAGCTACTCTACATAACCTAGTTTCACCTACCTGCTACTCTAACTATCTAACACTAATATCTACAAACTTATACCCAATTTTACTTTCTCTATAACTCATGGCCATGGTCCCTTTCCATCTCTAGCTCTCAAAAACTTAGGTATTCACTCACAAACATTCCTAGAAGTGGAACTTCTCAATCTAAAAAGTATCTATAGTCCCCTTACTTATCCTACACACTCCCTAAAATTGTCCTCAAAACTATATTTATTGCTTTCAAACCTATTTTAAAAACCAAAACAATACAAAACCACATTAAAAATTATCTTAAACTAAATTGTAGGTATGATCTCCATACAAATTAAGCTCTTTGAGAGCAAGCTCCATTCTGGTTCATCTTTGAAAGTATCGCACTATGATTTCCAAAATAGGAATTAAAATACTCACTAAACAAGTACCAAAAAAGTTGGATGCAAAACAATACTGATTTTCAAGTGGAAATATCTGGTGTGGCTCAGTGAACTGAGTGTCGTCCCATGCACCAAGAGGTCACTGGTTCAATTCCCAGTCAGGGCACATGCCCAGGTTTCGGGCTTCAGCAGGAAGCAGCTGATCAATGTTTCTCTCTCTCTCTCTTCCTTCCTCTCTCTCTAAAAATCAATTAAAAAATATTTTTTAAAAAGGGAAATAATCTACTCTAGAACATATTTTTCAAACATCCCTTTTTGCACAAAAATCCTCACTTCCCCAAGCCTGTTACTGCTTTCATTATAGTATTCATCAATTGCTAATGAAAATTAAGAAATTAGTGTTTATCCTTAGAATACAGTCTACAGTCAGACTTCCATCTTAAGAAGGTTGGAATAAAAACTTTATATCCCATGAAGTTAAAAAAACAGGATTCTACTGTATCATCTAGGCTAATTCCCCCTTTATTAACTTCAATAACTGAGAGTAGATTAACTCAAGGAAAATATTTGAACCTTCCACATTACCCTGTAGGAATTGGAGGAAAAAAACAACAACAAAATATTTGAAAAATACATTTACATATGCATACATTAAAGTATAATGGCAGTTTAGGCAACACTAAAGAAAAGACATTTCTGTATTTTCTTCTTTAATTAGGCACCTGACTGCCTACAAAATGGTCTTATCCAGATGACTAAACAGAAGCACCTGTACAATTTTCCATGTGAACTACTGACAGTGGAGAGCACTGGACTAGAAGAGAGAGATATCCCTTCTTTTTATTAAAATATTTTTTAAATTGATTTTAGAGAAAGGGAAAGGGAGAGGAAGAAAGAGAGAGAATGAAACATCCACATGAAAGAGAAACATCAACTACCTCCTGCGTGCCTCCTACTGGGGATCAAGCCTGAAAACTAGCTACCTTCTGGTGCATGGGACAACGCTCAACCAACAGAGCCACACTAGCCAGGGTGGGACATCCCTTCTATGTAAGCCTGATGGTCAGCCAACTTTTATTTGAAAATTTGCAGATATAAGTGAAACAATATCTACTTTTGGTAAGTAGTTACAAAATATAATTTTACCTAATAGGGCATATAAAACAGTTTTGCAATTTGTGAAACCAAAATGCCTTTTCAGAAGATAATAGTTTTCAGAGGGGAAAGATAAAGTCTGCTTCTGAAACATAATGCTTCCATATTCGTACTTTGCTCTAATTGTATATGTGTGCTACAACCTCACTGCTAAACAAAACCAAAGCTGCCAACTACTACAATCATAGCATCTAAGCAGGGGAGAAATCTGCAAAGAGCAGGAATCATTTAGAAAGCCTTCAAGGAAAGGACATATCTCACTGGGGCTCTGAAGTCTTTTCAGGGTTGAAAAGATAAGGGCTTAGAAAAGTGATCAGGGGGAAGAAAACACAAGCAGCAATAGTTCTGAGGTTGGAGAAAAAGAATCAGAGATTAGAATGGGCATGTTTAAAGTACCAATGCATATGGGAGATTAGCAGGAGAGGAAGCTGCAAAGGTATCTGGGAGAGATTCTAGAGGGCCCTGTATGGCAAGTTGGAGAAAGAAAGACTTTAATCTGCAGGCAGTGCATAGGCTCTGAAGGTTTTTGAGAAAAATTACTTACTAGATCACTCATTTGATAAATAATTATGTATTATCTTATTATATCTTCTGGTACTTAAAGGAAATGGACAATTCTAAGATGAATTCTGAAATGAACCACACAAAAGGAAGGATGGTGGATGAGAATATGAAGGAGGAAAAGGAAAGATAGGAGACAACAAAAAATCTGACTTTAGGTTTCATACGTTTGAGATTTCTAAAAGATGTCCAAATGAGGGTGCCAGGTAAGTGAGTAGAAATGGGGGTCTTGAGAAGCCAAAACTGGAAAAATTGGTGCGAGGAGGACACACAGGTCATCGGCAAGTAAATGGTATCTTAGTCTTCTCTGAATTCCCGCTATTTAGATGTTCAATAACTGTTTGTTGAATAAATGTTTTATCTTCCCAACTAGATTAAAAATTATCCAGGGAAATGTTTTACACTTCTGTGTACTCTCACAACACCTAGCATAGAATTGGGCACACAGAAGGCACTTAATAAGTAGTTTTTGATGGAGAGATTGGTTTTTGTTTTTAAAAGTTATTTTAACCAAAACAAAAAAACAAAAACAATTACCTTTGACTTTTTAAATCTGATTTTTGTTTCTTTGAAAGATCATTGACATCTCTGGTGATAATGTAAAATGGTGTAACCACTATGAAAAAGAGTTTGGTGGTTCCTCAAAAAGCTAAATAGAATTACTATATGAGCCAGCAATTCCACTCCTAGGTATATAACCAAAACAATTGAAATCAGGGACTCAAACAAATACTAGTATGCCAAAGTTCATAGTAGTACTAGTAACAATAGCCAAAGGTGGAAACAGCCCAAGTATCCATCAACAGATGAATGGATAAACGAAATATCGTGTAAGCCATACAGTGGAATATTGTTCAGCCATTAAAAAAGAATAAAGTGCCCTTACCGGCGTGGCACAGTTGGTTGAGCATTGTCCCTTGCACCAAAAGGTTGCAGGTTTGATTTTAGATCAGGACACATGCCTGGGTTTCAGGCTCGATCCCCAGTGGGAGACATGCAGAAGGCAGCGGATTAATATTTCTCTCTCCCTCTCCCTTCCTCTCTCTCTGAAATCAATAAAAACATATTAAAAAAAAAAAAAAAAAAAGACTATAAAGTTCTGCCTGCTGGTGTGGCTCAGTGGCTTGAGTGTCATTCCATGGACTGAGAGGTCCCCAGTGATTCCAGGTGAGGGCACATGCCCGGGTTTTAGGCTCAATCCCCAGTAGGGGGTGTGCAGGAGGCAGCCGATCGATGTTTCTCTCTCACATCGATATTTCTCTCTCTCCCTTACACTTATATGAAATATCTAGAATAGGCAAGTTTATAGGAACATAAAATAGATTATTGGTTACCAGGGGCTAAGAGAAATGAAGATTGCTTGTTCAAGTTGTGGAAACAAATGGTAGAGATGGTTATACAACATTGTAAATGTACATAATGCCACTGAATTATACACTTAAAAATAGTCCAGCCAGTGTGGCTCAGTGGTTGAGCATTGACCCATGCACCAAGAGGTGACCAGTTATATTCCTGGTCAGGGCACATGCCCAGGTTGTGGGCCAAATCCCCAGTGGGGGGTATGCAGGAGGCAGCCAGTTGATGTTCTCCCTCATTGATGTCTCTCTCTCTCTCTCTCTCTCTCAAATCAAAAAAAGGAAAAAAAATAGTTAAAATGGCCAGTTTATGTTATGTATATTTCAACACACACACACACACACACACAGAAAACCAGGAGGGGAGAAAGCATAGTATTATAAGGTTCTTATACTACACATTAAATGGTATATCATTTGAAGATTAATTGTGATAAATTAAAGATGCATACTATCGGCCCTAAAGCAGTCCTACTGATAATTGAGTTATGGCTAATAAACCAACAAAATAGAAAAAAAATGGAATCCACAGAAAATACTAAATAATTCAAAAGAAGACAGAGAAGGGGAAATAAATAGGAAATATAAAATAAACTAAATCCAAAGTTTGAGGAAAATGTGAAGTCTTAACATTAACTTGCTATTCATGTGAACAAGTCATTTACCAAAAGTTCTTTCTCTCTTCTTTTTTAATCCTCACCTGAGGACAATTTTTCCATTTCTCTTCAGATAGAGTGGGAGGGAAGGAGAGAGAGGGAGAGAAAGAGAAACATAAATGTGAGAGAGACACATTGAAAGTCCTTTCTCTCATATGGAAAAAGCTGTTAGACTAGAATAAGGCTAGAATAAGTGTGGACTGTACAGTTTGGAAATAATTTTCTGGTACTCACATTACTCGTAAGCAGCGGAGCCATGACTGGAACCAAAGCCTGCCTGATTTAAACCTACTCTCTTCCTGTTTCCCGACCACTTATTTTGAAACTTGTCAAATCTTCAGAAAAGCTGAAAGAAAGGAACACAGGTATATACACAGTTCACCTATTTAACAATTTAAAAATTCACCAAATGTTGATGTTTTATTACATCTGTACTTTCGCACTCTCCATACACACAAGTTTGGGGTTTTTTTTCTTCCCCTAAACTATTTGAAAGTTGTAGACATCCTTTAGTCTTAAATGCTTAATTAAACAAACATTTTTGAACCACTATGCTATGCTGCCTCTTCTTCAAAAGAACTATTCATTAACAACATGAGACCAAACCAGTTAGATACACTGCTGAAAAATCTGCCATGGCTGCTTCCCGCCACCTGCTGAATGTAGTCTAAAAACTTTAGTATAGTCGTCTATGAATGAGCCTAAAACTGCCTTTCTTTTGCTTCCTTCCACACACCAGTGTTTCAGTCACTGAGCTTTTGCTCCTGTTCTTTCTTTAGTCTGGGATGCCTTTCCCTTCCATCTCCATCTACCTTGGTCCTACCTCCATCTATCTTGGTCCTTTCTCTAATCCTTTAAGGCCCACCTCAAGTGGATAGGGGATGAAACTTCTTGGGTTGTGCTTCCCCAACATATTACATATAACTATTTAGCACTTAAGTTTATACTATAGTACCTAGAGTATACATTTAAAGGCAGACACCAAGTCGTTCTCGTTTCCACATAACGCAGCACTAACATGACGCCTCACACTTCATATGTATGACTCTCTATCTGTGTTTATTGAAATGAACATATAGGTGAAGTTTCAAGTAAATATAATGAAGAAAAAAATCTTCCTTATTTTCTGTTATCGAATTATAAGCAATATTCATTTATGTCTGTGATGCAAAAAGAAGAACCACCATAATAAGGCTCATAACAGTAGCACAAGCACTATGACATACCGATTCTGGTATAAAGCCCAATGTAAGACAAAACAATAAAATACCCAAGAAAATAATGTAAAATCATGATCACATAAATAGTTACTTGCACATTAATTTGCTGCTTCCAAAACGATTTCATATATACCTCCCATTTGCCTCCTCAATGAATCTGAGAATAGCATATGAATTCCTATCTCTAATAGGAGCAAATTCAAAGTTTAGTCACTTGTTCAGCTAGTAGGACCAGATTCCCAAACCTCATTTTCCAATCTCTAAGCTTAACTCTCTTTCTAAAATACCACACAGCCCCCAAGTTTGTTTCCTTGCTAAGAGGTCTGAGGAGCTAGGTCAAAGCAATACTCTGTGGCCAAGTTCTCAACTCATTTCTGAGTTATTCATTTTAATTGATGAAGGGAACAAACTGCTTGAAGTAGGTTTGGTAAAAGAATTAAGAATGTAATTATTTTTATATTTCATATTACACATACATATTGGTAATATTTCCATTTTCTATTAGGAGTAATGGTGTAAAATTTATGTCTGTAGCTACGCTTTGGTTAGAATAATTTGTATCCCAGACAACAGTCAAGCAAGCCAAGCAGGCTCTTGCCTCCATCCACTTTTGCTGCCCTTCTAACTGGAATGCTAGGATTTTTCTCAAATGTTACCTTAATCAGTTCCTTCCTAGACACGATATATAAAATAGCACTACAGCCACCACCTGCCTCCCTCCCAAGCTCATCCCTGCCTTGCACTCCTGTCTCCTTTACTTTTCTCCCTAACCCTCTCACCATCTTCCATGCATTTACTTTTTGTTAATTGTCTGTCTTTCCCCTGAGAGTAATAACTTGCTGTTATTCAATTCTTAGCAAACACTGTTGAGCAAATGGATAAATGATAGTTTAATAGCTATGTGTTAAAGAAAAAGGGTTTGCCCCTCTCCCTCTACCCGACCCCCCTCCCCACACACACACACAATAACCAAGCTTGTGCAAGAAATTATTCAGTTTAGCAAGCATCTGCCTGAGGGTTTATGCTCACTAAAAGTTATGTCTGTGCTCAAAAATCTCCCCTAGTAAATCCAATCTAGATCTCTGCAAAGCCCTGTGTCATTTTTAGATCTTCCTCTAGGAGGCAGCACATTATAGTACTGCATGTACAATGATTATTAAACCAGAGATCTGTTAAAATGCAGGTTGTCAGGCAAGTCGGGGGATGAGATCTAAGATTCTGCACTCTGATTCCAAACCAGTGAGCTGAAGGCCAAACTTGATTAAATACTGGGTATGATTTGGAGTCAGGCAGTTCCCAGCTATATTGTTCAACAGCAATATACCACTGGGTGAAAAACTTCCTTTTACTCAGTGTCATTTTCTCACCTGTAAAATGGGGACAGCATCACCTGACTTGCAGGGGTGTTGTAAAGCTAACACAAGTAAAGTTCCTAGCACAGTGCCTCACATATAGCATTTGCTCAATAAATGATAGCTACTAGTCTCGGTCCCCTGAGAGTCCTGAAGGAAAGAGAAAAAAAAAAGACTCATTTCTTTCCAACAGGTTTGGTTCTCCATTTCTTATTGACTCTATTTTCAAAAACAAGAACTTCTGTTTAATCCAATATTGGATATCACATTAGTGCCAGACTTCACATAAAGAGCCCTAGGGACAAAGGGGGTATGGAGGAACTAGACTAGGTACCAGAAAGGAGTCCTGAATGCTTCTAACTCACCATAGTCCCCAATCTGTGCAAGGAAAGGGCCCAGTCTGATAGTCTATGCGTTGAGAGTACAAGTCCTGGCTCTGCAAATGACTTGCTGTGTAATTCTAGGCAAGGCCCTGGTCCTCTCTGTGTCCTTTCAGTGACCCCTTCTAACCATGGAAGAATTACAAGTTAGTCTATGAATCTCCAAGTAGTATATACAGGTCCTGATTTGTACTTAGCCAGGTGTATGATTTTAAAAACCAAGCTAATCAAGTCCTCTCCGGTGTCTAGGCCTCAGTTGCCCCATCTGTGGGGGAGAAAAGAGAGGGTAGTGACAGCAGCTCATTCTCCTGGGTCCCACTCCCAGATACCTGGGTTCGCTTGATGAGGACTCCTTCCGAAGCGCAACACCTTTTTATCTACGAGGTGGGGGGGCACTCGGCGGTGAGGTGCGGACTGGAGGGAGGAAGGAAGCCCTCAGGGCCGGGAAGACCCGGTTGGGGAGTGGGGTTTTGACACTTGCCCTGCCCCCACCTCTCCCTACCCAGGTGATGACCCCGACCACCGCCGGCCGCGTGGGCTACCGTTGGAACCAGTTTCCTCCCAGCACGTGTGGGACACAGGCCAGGACGACCCCAAGAGCAGCCCGCCGGCCGGCATCGCTACCCCACCCCACCCCCGCCCTTCTCGCACCCGCGCCCCTCTTCTCCTCCCCTCCCTTTCCCCACCTCTCGAGTCTGGGCGCCCGGAGGCCCCGCGCAGCGTCCAGCGTCCAGCGTCCAGCGTCCGCCGTGCAGAGCAGAGGCGCACGACCACGAGCAGTGGCAGTGGAGCCTGGGCGGGCCTCCCTTTACCAACTCATCCCCGTCCCCGCCCATCTTCCGGCCCCGAGGAGGCGGGGCCGGCTGGGCGGACCGGACCGAGGGGCTCGGGGACCAGGTACCCCAGGAGGGTGCGAAAGCTATTCCTGAGCCGACTCCGGGCGGTGGCAGTCACGTGGCACTCGGGCGAGAGCCGCCAGCCAATGGCGGGCCGGGCTGGAGGTGCCGGCCCCTGGCTGCTTTCCTCCTGCGATTGGCTGTCAGGGCAGAAAGGGCCATGCGTCCCAGATTCTTGGGGAGGGCCCTGCTCCCTGCGCGAGGCGGGGAATCACCTAAGTGGGCGTCCGGAGGATCTCCACCTTCACCCCGAGAGTGCAGCGAGGAAGGAGTATCCAGAACGACGCCCAGAGCTTCCAGTGCTCTGCGTGTGCGAGGGGACCGTCTTGATCTCTGACTCCTTGGGACCCGGTTCCCTCCCACCCCGTACAGACGGGAAGTGGAGGCCCTGAATGGGAACGGTCAGCGAGGTTAGAGGCTCTTACCCGAGCGAAACTTAGCCTCCACGGAGGGCCCAAGAGCCAGAGGCTCTTTTTTAAATGTAAATAAAAATGTAAAACAAATATAAACTGTCATTCCAGTTCTCCGTTAAAACCCTCAGTGGCATTCCTTGACATTTATAGATAAACTCAACTCCTCCCTATGCCTTCAAGGCACCAAATGCTCTAGACCCTGGCTGCTGCCTCCTCACCTGGCATCCCTCCTCCCTTACACCCCCCCCCCCCCCCCCCCCCAGGCCTCTGCCCAGGTCTTGAGTTTCTGTTAGCTGTTTTTTTCTTGTGTCTCAGGTCTCAGCCTAAAGACTGGCCCTCTCCTCAGAGACACATTTCTGGCCAATCATATCCTATTATGCGTCTTGATTTAATCAGCCGGAACTGTTACTCTCTGATAGAAAGATAAATATATAATGAGAACTCAAATTCAAAGGTCGAAGTTTATTGGTAGTTTTTTTGTTTTTTAACATTTCATAAATAGACAGATATGACTGGAACCTAACAGTAATTCCAGGCAGATTTGTCAATTTACCAGCAGGATGACTTTAATGCTTTTGAAAATAGAGCTAAGAACAGACGTCTCAGCGAGGGTAATCATCAGTTAACTGTTCAGCTTGACAGGCTTTTTTCAATGTGTAGTCAAGACTGCACTGGAGTGTTTTTCTTTTTCTTTGAAGAATCTTTACATTTTCCCCAGTGCAGCCGCTTTTAACTTAAAAATAGATATGGCATTTTAAATTTTGGGCTCCAAACATGTCTTTGACTTGATTTTGAGGATGAGTATATATTAAGTTGTTCATACTTCTCTCTCTCTCTTTTTTTTTATAGCCTGTAGAGGCCCATTAGATGGTAATGGAAGAAGACTTGTGAAGGAAGCAAAATGGTTAACTCCCTCTACTCCCCTTTCCAGTGAACCTCTTCAGAATTATTTAAGGAACTCCCTTTCTTACCTAGACAGGATCCTCAGGTTTGTCATCCACCAGATGCAGAGCTTCCAGAGTCGCAGCCATATCAAGAAACCGGAATGCCTGGGTTCACTCCTGACTCTACCCTTTCAATGGAGACAAATCACTTCATCTCAAAGGACATCAGTGTTCTCACCTTTTAAAGGGTAGCTAATGGCCTGCCCGCAGAGTCCTGGAGAGGGTCAAGTAAGACAATAAGATGTAAAGTACTGTGTCAACCCTATAGGGTGCAAGACAAGCAAAATATCAACAGTTGCCAATTTCTGGATACTCATTTATGGATGCACGAACTCTTCATATTCATTATTTATTTAATTCTCACAGCAGCTTTTTACAAAAGGAGGTGTTATATTATGATTCTTCCTTTATAGGTGAGGAAATGAGACTCAGTGATATTAGGTGACTTGCCCCAGGTCTTGTAGTTAATAAGTGGCAATAGCATGATTTTAACCCAGTTAGATCTGACTGCAAAGCCCACTCTTAACTGTTATACTCCCTGTGTTAGTCAAATGTAAGAATCCACCCCATGTTTGCCTGAAATAAACACCAATAAGGACTGGTTCAATTTAATAATGGTTATCATTTCAATTTTCTTATTTCATACCTTTTAATCTACATTACAGATGAGGAAACTGAGACTCAGAGTATTAAATTACTTAACAAAATTGTGTAACTGACAAGTAGTGGATTTTGAGGTGGACTTTTGAACTGGGAGCTGTCAGATGCTAAAACCCAAGAACATGTGTCAATGATCCAATGCGAGGGAATGGTGCTAGATAGGAAGAGCCTCTCTCTCTTCCCAGGCTGCTATTTAATGTCGTGGTCCCCCCATGTCCCCATGTACACGTCCCTGGGGTCCCATGGAACTGAACTGTGGCCTGCCATTCTTGCTTCCCTTGATCAATGCTCCAGTTCTCTGTAGTGGGAATCTAAGAGGGGAAACAGATAACCAAATCCCTGCTCGTGGAGAGCTGGCTAATAATCTGCTTTTCCTCAATAACAGCAGGTCAGCAGCCCAGCCAGTAAGAACCCAGATCTCTATACCCCTCCCATCTAAGCCTGGGCATTTTTCCTGCTGTCAGTTTAAGGTTCACAGAGGTGACTGGCGGCCGGAGACTCACATATTATAGCCATTACTCCGTCACAACTGTTTTCCAAAGACTAACTAATGATGTAGTAAGTGGGGGTGTTTGGGGCAGCAAATGAGTCGTTTCAGGGCAGAGGTCACTTCAGGATTCGCCTTCCCAGTACTTCTGGATACCCGCTATTCCTAGGAAGGACAGGCCACTTCCTCTGAGGCCCCAAAATAACGGGCCCCAACTGACTCCCATTATTTTTTTTATCCTCACCCGAGGACATTTTTCCATTTTTTTGTTCAGATAGAGTGGAAGGGAAAGAGAGGACGAGAGAGAGAAACATCAGAGTGAAAGGGACACATCAAGTGGCCGCCACCCGCAGGACCCAACCAGGGCCAGGGGACAAACCGCAGTGGAGGTTCACACCCCCAGCGGGAACCGAACCCGGGTCTCTCAGGACTGCAGGCCGGCGCTCCAACCATTGAGCCAAACCGGCCAGGGCCTGACTCCCATTATTGAATGGGTTAGTCCTAATTTGCAATTCTGATTCATTCTCACTGCTATAGGTGTTTTACATGTGTTTTACTTTTTTAAAAAATTGATTGTTCTTGGAAACAGGTAACATGTACAAGTAGAATAAACAAATTTTAAAAAATCAGAGTTTACAATGAAAAGTAAATCTCCCTCCCACATTTCCCATTCTTACCCCAGCGTCCCTTTCCAGAGGCAAACACAGCATCAGTTTCCCATGTTGCCTTCCAGGTTATTCTATACCAGCAGTTCTCAACTCTGGCTGCATATCAGAATCTCTTGCAGAACTTTGAAAAGCTAACAAAGTTTAGGTTGCATCCCCGGTTATAATGATTGAATTGGGGTAGAGTGGCATCAGGCACTGATACTTTTTTAAACCACCCCCCTCCCAGGAGATTCTAATGAACACCCACAGTTGGCAAACCAGCGATCTGTGCTCATACAAGACTATAAATACATATATTTTTAAACAAAGGGGACAAACAATATACGCTATTCTACAGTTTAAAGAGTTAATATTATACCTTGAAGATTGTTCCATATCAGTGCATACAGACTGGCTATCGATTGCTGAGTAACAGATCACTCCAAAACGTTGTGGCTTAAAACAACAATAAGCATGTTGTTATTTCTCATGGTTTCTGTGGGTCAGGAATTTGGTAAAAGCTTCACTGGTGGTGTCAGAGCTACAGTCAGATAGTGGCTGGAGTTGGGACAGGGAAAAGGGATGAATCAGCTGTAGGCTGTCTGGACATCTCTCTTCATGTAGTCTTAGGGCCTCTCTTTGTGTCTCCCTGTGTGGACTAGTGTGGGCTTCCTCACACCATGGAAATTTCAGGGCAGTCTGTGCTTGAATGACAGCTAAAGGCTTCAGGAGCCAGCATTCCAGCAAGCAGAGGGGACGCAGTATGGACTTTTTTTTTCCTTTATTGATTTTAGAGAGAGAGAGAAAGAGAGATCAGCAATTGGCCGCTTCCTGCATGCCCCCCGCTGGGGATTGGGCCCACAACCTGGGCATATGTCCTGACCGGGAATTAACTGGTGACCTCCTGGTGCATGGTCAATGCTCAACCACTGAGCCACACCGGCCGGACCGCTGTATGGCCTTTTATGATCTCGTCTCAGAAGTCATGTAGCCGCAGTCCTATCACACATT